ATTTCCCCTGTTGCTTAGAGTGATAAGAATTACATTAGAGCGATAATAACTGCATTGGGTGTTCATATATAGATAGAGAAATCCATATTATTACTGCTAAAAATTGTTTGGTGTCATATTGAAAATTTACATATTGCGTAAATAATAAATTTTTATTGGTTAGAGTACAATTTATCAGGGGAATATTTTCTCCCCATTCCTATGGCCACGTTTTGGGAGAAAATGACCTCTGAAGTACTCTAAATTACAATTTATTACTAAATTTAATTTTAATCTTTATTATCTAGAAATATTGTATTGTGTATAGTATTGGTATAGTATATCTTTGATCGTGTGTACCAGTATCCATTTATTACCAGTCTTTTGCGTTTTGTGTTAATATATATATAATTTTTGTACATAAATAAATTTATATATTTTATTTATTATAAGACAATTTTTGTGTATATGTTACGAAATCATACTGGCTAAAAGGACTCAAGGTATAATAATAAGTGGTGATCAAATTATTAAGGTGTCCAAATTATTGTTTCATTAAATATTTGCCGTATTTTAACGGCTGGAGGCACTGTAATATTTTGTTTAAGGGAAAAGGACATCGCCCTTCATAAGTAGAATAAATTCTTACATAAACCACCACAGTTGACAGTGCGGCCATGAGCTGTTGCAGAGAGGCAAAACGGAAATTTCCATCAATATGTGATAGCTCTGGATCGTAGCAGATCTAGTAGTGGGCAGAGTTCTCTTCTAAGCTGGAGAGTGATATTGGAAAGATCTTGGACGATTTTGACCTCTGCACCCTGAAAGGAGATACGGTTGCGGTTTCTAGCTCGTCTAAGGATTTCTTCTTTTAAGCGAAAGTTCACTAAACAACAGATTGCTTCTCTGGGTGGGTCTGTATCTCTATGCTTGGGTCTCACAGCTCTGTGGAGGCGCTCCACTTCTATTGGAGAGTCAGGAGGTCTTTCTAGTAAATCACTGAATATAGGAAATACAGCGTTAAGCGGGAAGGTTCTATAGATTCAGGTATCCCCCTGTTGTCAAGATCTTCCATATGGCGTTGTAATTCCCTGAGGTGTACGACATGAGATTCTGTCACTTGCTGTACCTGGCATAAGGCTGCATCGTGGCGGGCTGTGACTCATTCAACATTATCGAGTCTAAAGGCCACGGACTGGAAGTCGTCCCTGAGATCTGATATAGCTGCAAATACTGAGGATTTTATGTCTGCTGCTACCGCTTGCAGGTCCTCTAAGTTAAGTGGGGGTGCTGAGTGTACTGGCAGTGCAGAACAGGAGTGGTCCCCGGCTGCAGAATGTGAATGCTTGAGATCTGTAGAGTGGGAATGGTCACGGGCTGAATAGCTGGGAGGGCTACATGTTACTGCGCTGGTGTGATCATGGGTTGCAGAGCTGGAATGATCACGGGTTGCATAGCTAGGGTGGTCACGAGCTGAAGAACAGAGGTGATCATGGGCTGCAGAATGGAGATGGTCATGGGCTGCAGAATTGGGGGGATCATGGGCTGCAGAATTGGGGTGATCACGGGCAGCAACATTGGAGTGGTCATGGGCTGCAGATTTGGGGTGATCACGGGATGCAGAATTAGGGTGATCATGGGATGCAGAGCTGGGGTGATCACAGGTTGGAGAGCTGGAGTGGTCACTGCCAGCTGAACTGGGATGATCACGGGCTGCAGGGCTGGGATGGTCAGGGACTGCAGGAATGGAGTAATCACAGGTAGCAGAGCTGGGTAAATCATGGGCTGCAGAGCTGAGGGGATCACAGGGGAGAGGATTGGGATACTCACAGGCAGAGCTGGAATGTGCTGGTGCTGCAGAGCAGGGATGGTCACAGGCTGTGCTGCAGTAGTGATCACTGGTTGTTATTGCAGGATGGCTGGGAGAGCTATCACTGCTAGCTGGCTGCTGCTGAGGAGGGGCCTGTGAGGAGAGCTGGGACTGCCCCATATTGTCTGTGCTGAGTCCAGAATATCTCTGGTATATTTCTCCCCAGTTGCGTGCCTTGGTCCCTAGGAGAACAGGACTGGGATGCGAAGGAGTTCCGCTGGCCTTTGCCCATCCTGGAGCAGTGAGAAGCCGCCTGTGGAGCAGAAGCAGGACCGTGAGGCTCTGGAGCTCTGGGATCAGGCAGCCATCTTAGGTCAGGACCAGACCACGCCTCCCCCCCCATTTTTAATATTTTGTTGAGAATCCTTTACTGGCAATCACTGCCTGAAGTCTGGAACCCATGGACATTACCAAAGACTGGGTTTACTCCTTCCTGATGCTTTGCCAAGCTCTAATTGCAGATGTCTTCAGTTGTTCTTTGTTCGTGGGTCTTTCTGCCTTTAGTTTTGCCTTCAGCAAGTGAAATCATGCTCAATTGGGTTGAGATCAGGTGATTGACTTGGCCATTTCAGAATATTCCACTTCTTTTTCTTCAAAAGCTCCTGGGTTAGTTTTGCAGTGTGTTTTGGATCATTGTCCACCTGAACTGTGAAGCGCTGTCCAATCAACTTTGCTGCATTTGGCTGAATCTGGGCTGACAGTATATCTGTAAACACTGAAAAATTCATCCGGCTGCTTCTGTCTTCTCTCACATCATCAATAAACATCAATGACCCAGTGCCACTGGAAGCCATGCATGCCCATGCCATCAAACTGCCTCCACCATGTTTTACAGATGACGTTGTGTGCTTTGGATCATGAGCTTTTGCAAGCCTTCTCCACACTTTTTTCTTCCCGTTATTCTGGTACAGATTAATCTTAGTTTCATCAGTCCAAAGAATGCTTTTCCAGAACTGGTCTGGCTTTTTTAGATGCCTTTTTGCAAAGTCTAATTTGGCTTTTCTATTCTTCAGGCTTATGAATGCTTTGCACCTTGTGGTGAACCCTCTGTATTTGCTCTTGTGAAGTCTTCTGTTGATTGAAGACTTTGACAATGATACGCCCACCTCCTGGAGAGTGTCCTTCACTTGTCTGGATATTGTGAATGGGTTTTTCTTTACCATAGAGAGGATCCTGTGATCGTCCACCACTGTTGTATTCCGTGGACATCCATGCCTCGTTATGTTGCTGAGCTCACCAGTGCATTCTTCTTTCCTCAGAATGTACCAAACTGTTGATTTGGCCACTCCTAATGTTGCTGCTATATCTCTGATGGATTTGTTTCAATTTTGAAGCCTTACAATGGCCTGTTTCACTTGAATGGACAGCTCCTTTGAAAGCATGCTGATGGTTCACAGCAATAGATTTCAAATGCAAATACCACACTTAGAATCAACTCCAGACCTTTCACCTGCTTAATTGATAAAGAAATAATGAAGAAGTAGCCCACACCTGGCCATGAAACAACTTTTGATTCAATTGTCCAATTACTTTTGGTCCCTTGAAAAAGGGGGGATGGCTACTCTTAAGAGCTGTAATTCCTAAACCCTTCCTCCAATTTGGACGTACATACCCGCAAATTAAACCTGAGAGAGTGCACTTTCAGCCTATATCCATTATATAACTATAGCTTGAATATGCTTTGGTAAATACGTGAAAAAACTACAATTGTGCCTGTGTCCAAAATATATATGGACCTAACTGTATATAGGGGAGGATCTTTTCTCTGATTGATCTGCCAGTGTCCATTCACCTATAGGTGGCATATGACCTACATAGTCATGAATAGCCTGCTCTGTGTCCTGTGATGTACGATAAGGAAAAAAAAAGGTCATGTCACCCTCAGTTACACTTTCTTCCAATACAATACAAAAGTCACATAAAAACACATATTAAGCAAAAAAAACTGCTGGCTAGAGATTAACTTTATGAAAAGGCAACAGCAGAGGGAGGATTAATGTCAGAAGACTTGTTAAACCACTGTCTAAGTAGCGTATTTTCTGGTGTATAAGACGACTTTTTGACCCTTGAAAATCTTCTCAAAAGTCAGGGGTCGTCTTATACACCGGTATACGTCAGGGTGGCACTTTTTAGGGGGGCCATCCCCCCCTTCCGACGGAAGGGACACTAAGTACAGGGGTAGAGGGCTGCTGTATTTTACCTGGCTGCCACGACGATCCAGTCCAGGAAGCGCTGCTCCTTCCGTCACTCCGGTCACTCTCTCACTCCTGCCGCTCGGCTCCGCCTCTTCACCGGTGATTGGCCGTCAGAACTGTAGTTCAGGAAAGGCACACAGGCGGCCAATCACGGGCGAGGAGGCGGAGCCGAGCGGATCCGCAAAAACGAGTGAGGGAGAAGCCGGTAAGTGTGCAGTGCAGAGGTGCTGCTGCAACCACATATGCTGGCTGCAGGCAGTACCATACTGGAACAGGAGTCAGCAAATGTCATTGGTGTCAGTGGGAGGAATAGTGCCCAATCATTGGTGTCACTGATACTAATGATGGGGCACTATTCCTCCCACTGACACCAACGATGGGGCACTATTCCTCCCCCCACTGACACCAACAATGGGGCACTATTCCTCTCCCCACTGACGGGGTACTATTCCTCCCACTGACATTAATGTTGGGACACTATTCCTCCCACTGACACCAATGATGGGGCACTATTCCTCCCACTCACACCAATGATGGGGCGCTATTCCTCCCACTGACACCAATGAGGGGGCGCTATTCCTCCCACTGACACCAATGATGGGGTGCTATTCCTCCCACTGACACCAATGATGGGGCACGATTCTTCCCACTGACACCAATGATGGGGCACGATTCTTCCCACTGACACCAATGATGGGGTGCTATTCCTCCCACTGACACCAATAATGGGGCACGATTCGTTGCTCTGACACCAATGATGGGGCATGATTCCTCCCACTGACACTAATGATGGGGCGCTATTCCTGCCACGGACACCAATGATGGGGTGCTATTCCTTCTACTAATACCAATGATGGGGCATGATTCTTCCCACTGACACCAATGATGGGGTGCTATTCCTCCCACTGACACCAATGATGGGGCACGATTCGTTGCTCTGACACCAATGATGGGCACGATTCCTCCCACTGACAACAATGATGGGGCGCTATTCCTGCCACGGACACCAATGATGGGGTGCTATTCCTCCCACTGACACCAATGATGGGGCATGATTCTTCGCTCTGACACCAATGATGGGGCACTATTCCTCCCACTCACGCCAATGATGGGGCACTATTCCTCCCACTCACACAATGATGGGGCACTATTCCTCACACACTGACACTAATGATGGGGCACCATCATTGGTGTCAATGGGAGGAATAGTGCCTCATCATTGGTGTCAGTGGGAGGAAGAGTGCCCCATCATTGGTATAAGGGGGAGGAATAGTGCCCCATCATTGGTGTCAGTGGGAGGAATAGTGCCCCATCATTGGTGTCAGAGCGAGGAATCGTGCCCCATCATTGGTGTCAGAGCAAGGAATCGTGCCCCATCATTGGAATACCATACCATATTGAAATCAAATCTGATTTTTTTTACATTTTTTATTTGGTGTGCGTTGGAAGAGGGGTAGTCTTATACGGCGAGTATAGCCCAAACACTATATTTTAACAGGAAAAGTAGGGGGTTGTCTTATACGCCCAGTCGTCTTATACGCCAGAAAATACGGTAAGTCAAGCTTTTCTTGGCGATACCCTGTTGTACTTGTAAAGAATTTTTGCATACATGCCTTCATGTTCTTAACTTCTACTTCGATGGCTTTTAAACAACGTTCTAATATTTAACAATGTTCTAGCTGTGTCTGGTGGAACCTCTCTCTCAGCTGTTGCTCAAAAACAAGTTGTTCTTGGTCAAAATTACACATGCGATATATATGGTATGCCCACGTCGTATGTCGATTGGTGGGGTGGGCAAACCCAAATTGGCATTAACATCTGCTGAACTTTGGCTTAAATTTTTTGCTTTGTTTTGGGAACTTGAAGACTGTGGCCGAAGGTTGACTACTTCAAAACTGACGTTAGGCTGCTGTTCTTGAGACTGGCTGATTTCATCATTCTTGTCAGATGCAGAGAAGCCTTGTCCTCTGCAAGAGAACAGATACTGATTAAGTCAAAGTTGGCCCATGTCCTCCCCTTTGTGCAAACTCACCCAAGTCCAGAATAAATCCAGCACTGGGCAAAGATGCTCCATGGTGACCTCTAGGGAAAGTCTACCAAAAGAGCATTATATTCCGAAGGAAATGGGGGGTTCCTCCTGAAAGCATACAATAGGGCTGCAAGGGAAAACATTGAACACGCAAAGTTAACATTTAGAATATTTGCGAACACTATGTACTCACCTCTCTTTCTTGCTTAAGGTATTGAAACCTTTGGCCAGCTCTGTAACTGTCTCTTCATGGATGAAGGGCAGCAGCAATTTTTCATAGTCCAACATTTCAATAGAAGCTTGTAATCTGCCACCAGTTTCTTGCCTATGTGGTGGTTTATGTAATAATTTATACTAACTAAACAGGGCGGTGTCAGCTCCCTTACACAAAATATTGCAGTGCTCCCAGCCGTTAAAATACGGCAAATATTTAATAAACCAATAATTTGGACACCTTAATAATTTGATCACCACTTAACAATATTCCTTGAGTTTTCACCAATGTGATTTCATTACCATATACACAAAATTTGCCTTTTGATAAATAAATAAATACATTTATTTATGTACAAATATTTATATATATATTAATACAAACTCAAAATACTGGTGATGAGTATATTCGTACACACAATCAAAGCTATATTATGCTAATATCTACGGTATCATACAAGATATGGTTATCAAATGACTTTAAAACACATTCTAAAGGGGTTAGTTGTAACCTATAGTGCTTCAGATATTATTTCCAATTTCCCGTGGCCATAGGGAAATAAGAAAGTATCTCTGATAATTAGCACCACAAAAACACTACAAATCAGTTAATATGCAGTATATGATCTCAATACCAATACTCAAACAGTTACATCAATAATTATTCAAATAACCTTAGTACACTCCTAACCACACAATAAAATGTTATATAAATCTTAATAAGTTTGAAATATAAAGAAAAATTACAATATTTTGGCACAGTCTCACCAGTCCCAGAATCTCGATTTTTGAGGCCTCACAGTGGGATGCAGTTGGGAAAAGAAATGTTTCTGGTCAGTCAGGCACCAGAATTTAAATGAGCATCAGCGTCTCTGATGAAAATCTTTTCCTTCAAATGGCCTTCAAAAACAAAATGGCAGCTGGAAGTTCTCAGCAAAATGGCCGCAGGTAGCAAGTGAGTATAGTACAGTATATAGTGGTAGTAGAGTAGTTAAGAAGTAGTTTCAGAAAATAGTAAGAAGTGATTTTTTGAAGTAGTTTAGTGAAGTGAATATTTAAAAGTTGTCTTCAGTTTGAGGTGTTTGGCATTTTATACCATACAAGTCCTTTGTTCCGAAGGACCTCCCAACGGGCTTGTTGATTGGACGGTTGAGAAGTTTGCGTACCTATAGAAGTTCCTTACCTGTCCACCGGGGACAGTCAGGTATCACAAATGAACTGGTGATCTTAATGATGACTCACCCTTTGATATAAACAGTATGTCTTTATGGATATACAATATATGGGTCCTATTCCAGTATAAATGATTTCCCCACTAACTCTCAAATAAGGACCATAGAAATATGTGAATATATTTGGTTTCTCATTTTTCTGATTTATGAACTTGAATTGGGATGGCTGATTTCCTTTGGAGGACCCAACTTTGTTGACTAGATTTTGGTGTGTGGGTATATACCTTCGATAATGTTTCAGGTATACCAAGCTTTTTTTTTTTTTTCTTGTAATCTTAAATGAACCAAGTTTCACTTTATGCTGAATGCACAGTTCAAGGAGATGTGACATAGGAAGCTTCATCCATTGTTGGGTAATTAGGGTAAACAGACTGGACTGTAGTCTAACCTCAGTATTCAATAGCTGATTGTGATAGCTCAGAGGTTTTCTTTGGTGATCACACACCTTCCAAGGTTTTGGGAGAACTACAGGCAATAAGGTCTTAGTCCCAGGATTGTAAATTATGGTACTGTGTTTGATCATCTGCAGAAATTCAAATAGTTATGTTTAATCCTATTGTTTTTTAAGCAGATCTTTTCCACTCATTGTTTTTGGTAGCTTCCTGGAAGGTCACCTGAAATCAACTAAGGATGTTAACCCATCACAGTCAGCTTAGAATTTCCTTCTTGGGATAATATCATTTTTCTTAATAAACAGTCCAAAAGTCTTCACACCTAGGAGAAAAGATATAAGCAATAAAACAAATGTAACCCACTGAAATGGTGTTAGATGCAGTACTTTAAAATGGATATTAGATGGTGGTAGCCTGCCATTTAGGGTCCTTCACATTGGCAAAACAACCCTCTGGAACTTGTATGCTGAACAGCAGGACTTGAATGGTGAGCAGGATGCTCAGGGACTGCATTTCCTAGGAAAGGTAGTGTGTGGGGAGGGACATATATACATCAAAGCTCGCGAGACTCGGGGGAGGAGAAGAGTAGAGTGGAGGAAAGAGGAGGAAGTGTGCTGAGGGCTGAAGTGGTTAACTAGATCGTGGAGTCAGAGTGGGAGAGGAAGAAGGAGCAGAAAGAGCCCGCGGATCCCCCATCCTGGCACATTGCCCAGCGAGCCTGTCTGTTAGCAGATCAGTTGGGATGCCGAATAGGAACCGGAGAGTCTGTGTAGGGCCGTCATCTGTCAGAAAAGCTAGACCGCTACAAGCTACTGAGCCATATTGATCAGGTGAGAGAGTTCCAAGTATCCACTAATCAAGTGAACACTGAAAGTTTCTTCACCCCAGCTATCCACTTGCAAATAGTTGTGAACATTACATATGTTCAGTTGCCTTACGTTGAGGTCTAGTTCTCCCAGGAACTCCTGTTGGGAAACATCTGCATCATAGTCTCAGGTTCTTGAAGGAGCTATGCACATGCCCCAAAACTCGTCACGGCTCCACGATCACCCCACTTCCGGTTTGTGTTCCTCTGGACAACGTGCATTCCAGCGTGCGCTCCAGTGGTCCCAAAATAGCGTCGGCCATGTTGACATCTCATCCCAAGATCCCCCTGCAGCTGCTGGCCAGCACAGTGGGTTCTCACACAGTGGATAGAGCCCCGCACTATGAAGGATCACTTAGAGCCTGTTTTTACTGCCACCTTGTAAGTGTTTTTAACCGTTCTTATTAAAAGTGAACCTGGATATACTGCACTTAGAAGTGTCTTCCTGTCTCACCTTTCTCCATAATACCGAACAAACATGTGTCACAAACAAATTATGAGCCAAAAATGAGCCATATAACACAGAACAAACAAACAAATGTAGCGCTACCCCTGAAGGAGCTGATTGAATGTTTGGGTCCCCTGTTGATTTCCCTCAACCCCAAGAACAACCTCTACCCCTCTGGCATACCAGGTTAGATGAGTCACTGCAGACAGCAACACAGATATTAGAATTTTAGACAATACTTTACTGGATATAATAAGTCAATAAGGAAACAGACCCTGGACCAACAAATATACTCCCTGGCTATGGAGATCAGTCTCTCAAGATTTATAACAATATATATCAAGACACTGTCAAATCTTCAGTAGATCTATGATCCCAGGGGTAAGAGGAGGAAGAGGAGACCCTTGGTCAGTCAGTTCCCTCTAGGCCATGACGTCACAGGCAATAAACAACACAATATATTGACTCTGAGTAGGAGTTTCTCCTTTAAATGACTAAGCAGTAATTCCGCAATATTAATATACTACAGTCAGCAACCTCAACCACAGATGGAGTCCCAATAGTGAGTGTATTCCTTAATTCCAGCCTGCTTATGATGAGGCACAGATTTGTCACTGTGCAATAGTAACAACTGGATGAAAGAGATTAGCAGATAGTACTCCCCCCAACAGCAACTTCGGAGTTAAAGTTCTCTGCATGCAGTATCTATACAAGGAGGATTGTTGGGCATACAAATGCTCACCAAACCTCTGGAGGGTGGCACAACCAAACTCCGCTGCGTGATGTCTGGCTTTTGGCAGTACAGAATGCCACTTGATGGCCTCCGGGCAACTGGTCAACCCACTGGTGAAGAGACCTGCACAATGCCCAGTGATGCCTGGTACAATCTTCAAATAATGCTGCAGTCCCTGTACCCTGCATTGTGATGTGGTACAGAGCAACTGAGCAGGGTTCACCACTGAACAGTGGCCTGAAACTCCTGGGAAGAAGTCACACTCCCCTCTGTCAGTATCCAAGTCCCCGTGCCAAGAGAGCTAACATGGCTGCAGCAAGAAAATATATTATTATATTATTATTATACAGTATTATATAGCGCCAACAGTTTGCTCAGTGCTGTACATTACAGTGGGAGACAGTACACAAGACAGTACAGTAACAATACAATTTGATACACGAGGGGTTCGAGGGCCCTTCTCCTTGGAGCTCACAATTTAGGAGGGAGGGGATAGTGGTACAGGAGGAAA